AATAATAATAATAATAATAATAATAATAATAATAATAATAATAATAATAATAATAATAATAATAATAATAATAATAATAATAATAATAATAATAGTAGTGATAATAGTGATAATACTCTTTGATTAAATATATTCCATTGTAACCTAAAAATTTGATACTTTCATGATTAACAGGAGCTTGATAATAGTTTATTTAATTTTAATTTTAAATAACTGAAAAAATAAAACAGTTTATCAAAACATATTTAAAATAGTTAAGTTATAATTATTTTATTAAATTATTTTTCTAAATATTAAATAGGTGAGTTATCAATAATAAAAAAAATTAAGTACATATATGTTAAAAAAATTTATATATTGAGAGCATTAAATATTATTTTTCTTAACAAATACATTAACAAACTTTCATTAAATGAAATTTGTAGTCAAACATTATTAAGAAAAAACATGCCTTAGCTTGTTAGGGTTTGGCATAATAACATAAATTATGGAAGGTCAACAAAACTTAACTTAAATACAATTGCCGTCGCATGCAAGTCTAATACTTTCATTAATATATATTCATGCGATACATAAATTTATTTAAATGTATTTTTAGTTATTAAATTTTGATGTAAAATTAAAATTAGCCCAAATTTCAAACTTTAATGACTAGAAATATATTTAATCCATTTATCAATTATAACATATCCACACATAACAAATATTTTAAATATATTTGTATTTTCTACACTATAAAGTAAAAAACTAATTGATAAATATAGATAATTATACATTTTAACCTTTTATAAGACTAATATCAATAAACTTGCTTTTTTTAAGGAAACATATATATATATATATATATATATATATATATATAAAAGTATATTATTTTATTTAACAATATGTATTAATATTTCTATTTTATTTTTAGCCTATATTTATTTTTATTTTATTTATAATTATTCTGACAAACAAATTTAAAGTATATTATTTATTAAAAAATAAAATTAAATAACTATTACTGAGGTATCAATTATAACTTTAAAATCTTGTATAAAATTTATGTAATTTAAAAGCATTTATATAACTACAGGATAATTCCGTATAATTCAATTAAAATTATATTTTTATAATTTCCTAATTTTTCAAAGTATACATAATTTAATAAAAAAAATTCATTTAAACATAATTTATATTATATTTATTTTTATTATTTACTTTATTATTTTATCTACGTAAAAGTAATATAATTTTACAATGTTCTTATTATATTATTTTACGTTATTATTTTATCATATTTTATTCTTTTACTTTTATTATAAGTGTAAGCTACTTAAAAGTTATGCCAATGAAAATTAGGAATTAAATTGATATATAAAAAAATTACCGAGGATCAACATTAAAATTTATTTTAATTTATATTAAGTAGCTAATATATTGTACGAGTATATGTACAAACTTTACAAATCCAAAAGTAAAATTAATTAATAGATATTTATTTTATTTATAATAAAAAATATAATTTGGAATAAAAACAATTAAAAAATTGGTTCTAAATTGTAGGAAATATTTTTTTGCTAATGGAATTTCTGATATTATATTACATTATAATTATTAATGACAAATTGCAAATGTCTGGTTAAGCATAAAAAAAAGTATCAGATACAAAGCATAACTGAATATATAATATATGGGAAAATATCAGTTTGATTTAATGAAAAATAAATAAAAGACGTATTTCCTTTGATGATAAAAAATCATCCTATTTTTAAGAATAATAGTTTAAATTTGTTATATAAAGACACATGATTAAGAAAACAAGTTAACGTTCTAATGTTTTTGAAGACCAATCTAAAAATTCCATGTATCTTTGAAAGTTAAGAAGAATGGATAATCATGCTTCATTTTCCAAATGAAATATTTAATTTTTATATCTAGGCTAAAGTTTGAATCTAAGCAGCATACCTTTTCGTAACTTTGGTGGTTCGAAAAACAAAGTATAATAAAAGCTTCTATAAAAAATATGAAAGTCTGTTTTTATTTTATTAAAATTATTTTCATTCTTTAAATGATAATATAGAGAGAGAGAGATAATGTACAATAAGTGACTTTTTAATCTAGATTAAGAATTAAAAAGTACTCATTTAATTTTTAAATTATAATTGGAATTATATTTCAATTTTAAAACCCCTTCCATAATGTAAATTTAAAGTTTAGTGACTAAAGTTTTTAATCATACTCCAATTATTTCATCAATGAATCTATATTTTATTATTTTTTTTAAAGCTTTAGAAAAAACATTTAGAAGAATAACCAATTTCACCATATACATTTACTCAAATAATTATAAAACTAGTTCGATCCTCAATGCAATTCTGAATAATATAATCGTTTTTGTCAAAACTTAATTTCACAATTATACTCATTGAAAGACTGTCATGTAAATCATTTTAATTAGCTAATTTGTGAACCCAAATACACTCATAACTTATTATCATGCTATTTATACGCTATAAAATAATATATCATCCTTTTTAATTAGTATATAAACCCGTAAATAAAAAGTAATTATAAACTCAAACTTAATATAAGATTGCGTTATATAAAAATTTGGCACTTACACGCTTTCATTTATTTAATCAGCTAACTAAAATATAATAAATCAAAGCCAACAAACAATGCTGCAAACAAAAGAAAAGGAAACAAACGCAAATATGATGAAGGCAGAGTTTGATGCTTTCCTTCGTTCATGTCCGGAAATAAAGCTATACTTAGTTGCATCATTTGAATTGATATGCCACTTTTGCCGAATAGGAAATTAGACATTTAGGGTAATATGATTTTCTTCCACACTTTAAAGATTCTAGCTACCTAATTATGTCCATAGATTCAACCCTCTTTAATTTTTATTTAAGAGATTAACCCATTCTACGCAAAAAGAAAAATGTAAAAAGTAAACACAAGAAAAAATACACACCCCATGGCCTATAAAATGTCTTGCACTGATCAGCTATACAACAAACAACGCTTGTTCACATGTTAAAGTCATAAGAGAAAATAGAAGGGAAAATGGCTTCAAAGGGTGTGGTTGCACACGTTGCCCTTCTCCTTTCCCTCTCCGTCCTTTCCTTTCCCATTGTTAGCTCAGATACACATTCCCTTTCGCTAAAGTGGCCACCAATTCGCATCCCTCCTCTTCCCATCACACCAATTTACATCCCACCACTTCCAATACATCATAAGACACCACCACCACCACCTCCTATCACACCACCACCTCCTCCTATCACACCACCACCACCTTCTAATTCACCATCATTACCTCCAATCCCACCCCCATTATTGTCACCTTCAACGTTGTTTCCATTACCTCCTGACTTATCACCATCTTTACTTCCTATCTCACCACCATTATTATCACCCTCAATGTTACCTCCCATCTCCCCACCACTTTTTTCACCCTTAGGGTCACCTCCTGACTTATCACCATTGTTACCTCCTATTACACCACCGTTGTTACCGTCCACAACATTGCCTCCATTGTCACCTCTAGAGTCACCACCATTGTCACCTCATGACTCACCACCATTGTTTCCTCCTATTTCACCACCAGTAATATCGCCCTCAACATTACCTCCATTATCACCTCCTATCTCTCCACCATTTTTCTCACCCTTAGAGTCACCTCCTGAGTTTCCACCATTGTTACCTCCCATTACACCACCATTGTCACCTTCTTTCTTGCCACCATTATTGTCACCTCTAGAGTCACCACCATTATCACCTCCTGACTCACCACCACTGTTACCACCTTCAGCGATACCTCCGTTGTCACCTTCGGTCTCACCACCATTATTACCACCTATAGAGTCACCATTACCTCCTGACTTATCACCATCTTTACCTCCTAACTCACCACCATTATTCCCACCTTCAACGTTAGCTCCATTGCCACCTCCTGTCTCTCCACCACTTTTTCCACCCTTAAAGTCACCTTCTGATTTACCACCATTGTTACCTCCTATCACACCATCATTGTTGCCTCCGTTATCACCTCCTATCTCACCACCATTATTACCACCTATAGACTCACCACCATTATCACCTCCTGACTCACCACCATCGTTATCTCCTATCTCACCACCATTATTTCCACCCTTAACATTACCTCCATTGTTACCTCCAGTCTTACCACCATTATCTCCTCCTGTAGAAGCACCACCATTATCTCCTGACTTACCACCAGTTCTGCCGCCAGCAACATTACCTCCATTATCACCTCTTGACTCACCACCATCGTTATCTCCTATCTCACCACCATTATTTCCACCCTTAACATTACCTCCATTGTTACCTCCAGTCTCACCACCATTATCTCCTCCAGTAGAAGCACCACCATTATCTCCTGACTTACCACCAGTTATGCCGCCAACAACATTACCTCCATTGTCACCTCCAATCTCATCACCATTATTACCACCTATAGAATCACCAACATTATTACCACCTTTAGAATCACCACCATTATTTCCTCCTGACTCGCCACCTCCTCCCCCTCCACCATCACCTCCCCCTCCATTTGTCACACCTTCGCCACCACCTCCCCCTCCACCTTCGTCACCACCTCCTCCTCCACCTGTAACACCGCCTCCTCCTCCTCCACGACCATCATCTTGTATAGGTTTCCAAACTTGCACCAGCTTATTGTTATCTTTTCCTTCACCAATACCAAGGCCAAACAGTCTTTGTTGCTCCATTGTCCTTGCCGCGGGTTCTCCTAGGGATGCCGCTAGGTGCGTGTGTGCCAATGGCCAGGCCGCATCTCAACTGAGCCCTTTTATTTTGACCCTTCGTATGAAAAGCTTAATTGGCAGTTGTGGAGTCAATGCAAACAATTTCAGTTGCAATTAAGAACAGAATATGCGTCACACTTAAGATCATATTTTGTTGTCTTATTTTATGTCTTTTATTTGCGTTGTGTGTGTTTAAAAAAGTGAAGGACGCTATCGTTAGTGTCTGCTACTTATATATTTTGGTGGGCACTATAATAATGTATGTCAATAAAACGTCCATAACAGAAAATATGATATACAGTTATAAATACTTCGTCTTGTATGGGATTCCTATCTTCCTTTTGCAATCTTGAACTTAGGTGATTCCCGTTATTGAATTCCTTTTCTATCTCGTTTCACTTTCTTAAGTATTTTCTATATCATTGTTTCAATTATGTGTTAAAAATCCAGATCGGGGCATTGATCTTGTAATATCATATTCACATCGGTTTATCATTATAGCTTTTTGTCCAAATTCTAAACAATGAAGCATGAAAAAGTGGTTAAGATATAACATCCAGCAAAACGAAGAGATATATTAGTCCTACAAATGGAATGTTAACAAGCGAAAAGCTGCTCAAGGAAATGTAGGACCTCATCCTTCAATGTTCAAATGCTAGCCGCGTACAATTTTCATTCAATTAATAATCTCCCATTAGAATATTATTATATTGCTATAGAAGCTATAATATGTTAAAAAATGTCTATTGTAATTCAAAAATATATTAAAAATAATAACAATAAGAATACAAACTCCAAAAAAATAAAGGCAAAAATATCAAGAAAAAAAAATTCAACATTAAAAATACTTTCAAGGTTATTTTTATCAACAACAAAAAAAATTATATATTTGTTGAAACAGATGTTCCAACCCAGCTTGTTTATGAATTTGGAGCTTTTGTTATACTGTTACTTTCATGCACCTGCAAAATATATTAATGGACATTTATTTTGATATTTTAAAATAAATAAAAAGATTTTTAAAATGGTATTTAAAAAAGAAACAGGAAAAAGAAACTAACAGAAAATCTAAAGTCGTTGTTTATACATGTACGTTAATCACAAATCAAAGTACAGACAGACATAAGTTTATGTCCATTTAAATTAACTACAAACAATTTCCACTGTAACAAACAATCTGAAAACAACCGATCGAAACTTGATCAGAATGATAAGGGCAGTTTCTTGCTGTGCTGTCCTTTGTTTATTCTGCCGATTGTATGATAAAGACTTTAAAGATTGGAGTACTTACAATAATAATAATGACTAATTAATCTCACTTGATCATTCAATCGTTAAGATTGCAATTGTGCTTGCAAACAACAATCAAAGATTCCGACAAGAAGAAGGATGAATAATAAATGGAGCACAACATGGATTGAAAAGAGAAAATAACAGTGAAGATGTGTGAAATATGGTAAAGATCACATGTGGAATATATATGTTGATGAAACAATGAATTTAAGGGAACTGGAAATCAGCGTTTGAGCTTTTCCTCCCACAGTTGTTGAGCAGTACGTTTAAGGAAATTGGGAGGCTAAGGTTGACGCGAAGGACGTTAGCTTTGATGGCAGTGTAAAGGCAAGCAGCAACTTCAATATCAGCCAGATCCTTGATTAGGCTGCAGCATGGTAGGGTTGGTGGTGACCCCAGTTTAACGTCGGCAAAGTTCAACACTTTGGCACACACACCCAACTTAACTGTGTCCACAGGACACGTACCCTTTTTATAGGGCACTGATGGATCTGGGATTACAGGAATGTAGGTGGAACTCACTATGTTATAGGAAAGCATGTTGAAACAAAGGAGCAGAGCAACAACATTGGATGCAATAGTGCCCTTCAAAGCCATTCTACACAACCAGGATCAGAAGGATTAGGTTTGGGATCCTAATGAAAGTTATGGAAGTGTTTATAGGGCAATTAGGTAACTAGTTCTGGTTTTTGGTTTCTTTTTATTAAATCTACTTGTTAAGAAAACTTATGGGATTATAATTGAGATGCTCAAAAAGCTGGCAGCCTGGTTGTGTATCATGAGGGATATCATAGGCAGTGATCTATATGATGACTGTTAAAAAATGCAAGTAGATGTATGATTGCCATGTTCTTGCTTTCCATGACATCACTGAAATTACTCAGACAAAGACAAAAGAAACCCAAGTTGTTAATAATTGGTTGATTATGTTATTAAAAAGAGCAAATGGGCCCTGATAACTCCCTTTGTTGTTATCTTGAAAAAGAACAAGTATAGTAAAAGGTAAGAATGATAGTATAAATTTTATCAAACATAATCAACTTCTGAAGGACAATTCTCGATGTTTTCTTAGGGTGATTTATTTTCCAGTCTTTTCAATACAAGTGTCATGTTGAAATAATAGTGAATCCTCGTATTATTGATCTGGCATGGATAGATTAGACATGGAACAGGAGAATATATTTTAAAGGATAACAATATTTTAACAATAATTTTTTTTACAACATTTTAACATTATTATCATGTTATTGTTCTATGTTGGTGATTATAATTATTATTATTAATTGTGAAATAATTTTGGATCAATCACAAAAATGACACGTAAATGATATTAAAATGTTACCAAAAAATGTTGTCAAAATATCATTTTCCTATTTTAAATTACTAAAAAGTAAAAATAAAAATAAAAAAAATCTTATTTCCTTTGAAGAACATTTTTTACCATGCAATTTTTCATTTTCTCTGTTTTAATATTGCTTGTCTCATAAAATATACTCAATTTTTTTTATCACAACCTCAATCACACATTATTTTCTTTTGTGTAGGTTTTCTCAAACATTGTATTGCACTTGTATTTTAAGAAAATTGTTCTTGCTTATGTGCTCTGTTTTTGGGGGTTGATTTTAATCCCTTGGTCGTCAGTGTTGCAGCTTCAAGGAGTTAGCTGGAAACCGACCTTTGTTACAGTTACGAACTGCTGAAGAAGCTGCTGTAAGTGTTGCTTCAGAGGCTACTGGACAAGGTGTTGAGGGAGAGGTTCATCCTGATGGTGCAGAGAAGTCTCCTAAATCTGTAAGTGTTGGCTTAACAGAAGCAGAAGAATCCATTGGATGAAGCAACTTTTTAATCGGGAAATTGAACTAAGACTAAAGCATGGGCCTTCAATTTGGTTTCTTGAGGCTAAGTACTTCAAACCCTATTTTTTTGGAGGACATTCTAGGTTTGTCATGCATTTGTAAAAATTCACTCTTTTTAAAGTGCGAATGTTATGCATGCAGGTGTCTTGTTAACTTTCACAAATTGAGAACATGAATGTTACATTGAGATAACGAATTACTTGCCTTCTACTGTCCTCTTTTGGTTTGGCATATGTTGTTTCTTTACTTTAACTTGTGTGTAGACAAACATGTTTTTGAAATTTAAAACAGGCCAACATAAATGTACGTGTTGTAGCACAAGGTTGTTCTGAGTACAACATCACCGTAGTTGTAAAGCGGGAGGATTCTATAAAGGCTTTACGGGCAGTTCATTCCAGATTTTATCTCTCGAGAACCACCATAGCAATGGGCATTATTGGGCTTGGATTAATTGGAAGCACACTGATTGACCAGCTAAACGACCAGGTAAGGTTTTTGTAGATAATTTTTAAGGAATGCAGATAAGAAATAATAACTATAAGTATTCTCATTTCATAATCAATTTATTACTTGTTGAAAGTACAGTTCTATCAGTTGGTATGCTATTAACTTAGTATTTTGGTGCTGTAAGGCATGAGCTTATGCTAATAATTACGAAGGTTGGCTATGCAAAGGAATACATGTCATCACTCCCAACAAGAAGGCAAATTCAGGACCACTTGATGAGGTAAAATGAAACCATCCAGCTTATTGTCCTTTTTAGAACATAAACCATTTTTTGTAATGTAACATATGGATTATTCCCTATTTAAGGATACTCAAACGCCATTTTTAATTCAATTTTTTTGTTATGCAACCTATCTTATGTGTTGTCCCTGTAAATTTTGGGTATAGCACTCTGCTACAAGCTGAAAATCCCCATGCCAATTTATTTAAGATGTTTTGATAATGTTTCTATGAATACTAAGAAGGTAGGATAAAATACGTTAAGCTAAAATCAACTCTTGTTTCTATGAATACAAGTTAACTCCCAAGTGCACACACTTGATACTTTTGCCATCTAAGCTGCAGTAAGTTTCCCTTTAATGCCATTGTTGCTGCAAAAGTGCTAAACTCTCATTACAATTGAATAAACATTATTTCATGTCACTGATCAGCAAGGCAAGAAGATAACAGACAACAAAACAATAGAATTCATTGAAAAGGTATTCATCTTTCTTCTCTACATATGATATACTATTATAGTTAAATATTTATCTAACTAAATACTTATCTAACTACTTATGACAAAATTGTTCTAATTTAATTATTTTATTTGTAGATCTTTAATGATTCATCTCCAATGGAAGCTCAAGACATTAAAGACATTAGAACTAAGTGAATTTCTTTTATTTTAAGTGTTAGTAAATTGTAGAAACTTGACTACAATGTAGTGTAAGTTAATGTTATATTTTGATTTAATATATGGTTTGATGTACAAATTATATATGTATTAAATATTATTACACAATTTAATGTTTGAAATGAATTTGATTATGTTAGTTTAATTGAATATGTTCATGTTATATTGATTATAAATTGATTGATGAAATTATAATACAGGAAATTAATTGTAAATTGAATGGATATTTGAAATGTAATAATGAATTTGTTTTTTTACAAAACAAGTTTTTATGACAGATGAACAATGTATGTAATAAAAGTTTATTTCTGAAAAGTATATATATTATGATAGGTGAAAAATTACTTGTCATAATATATTCTATGATAGGTGAAAAAATTTATATCATAAAATGCTACATATTATGATAGATAAATTTAGCCGCATCACAATAAATTTGTTATATTATGATTGATAAGTGAAAATATGTCATAATACACTAAACCTATTATGATGCCAAGTTACCTATCATAATAGGTCATTTTTACTTATCATAAAAAGCTATTTTTTCACTAGTTTATCATAATAGGTCATTTTTACTTATCATAAAAAGCGATTTTTCTACTAGTGCATCTTTGTCGTCTCTGCATACATCACACAAAAATACTTAAAAGTTGTAAATATCTACTAATTTTGCACTAATTCTTCATTTTTTTCAAATATATTTAAAAATTACATTCACTACCATTTTAAAGAGCATGGATAAAATAAGAAATATATGTTACCGATGATAACCATCAATATTTTCGATAGATAATTATTAATGAATTTAGACTATCAATATTTTTTATCATAGACAGTTATTAATGAATCTTTTAATTTTTACTAAAATTATTAATGAATATTTTAGTGATGATTGTTTACCGTCAATAACTTTAGTTTAAACAAATTTTTGTCCATTGATAAATTCATTTTTTCAATATAAGACCAATAAATATTTTCCATGATCAATAATCTTAATTTATAATGAAATAGTTATGATTAGGGAAATCATAAATTATGCTATAAACTTAAATTATGGTTGTAGTTGTTCAGAGTTAAATAAATGTTTAATCACATTACGTATAACACTCAATCGCATTTTAACATATTTATATAAATTAAGGTTTCTTAATTCTTCCAATCAAAGTATAATCTTGTATCACATTTAGATTTCATCAATCGACAAAATTATAGGAGTTGTTCACACATAAAACCAAAATTGTCATCTTTTCGATTAAATAATATTTTATATAAAAGTGTAAATAGTTATAGACAAAAACGTAAATAGTTTAGATAATATTTTTAGAATTGTGAATAATATAGACAACATATTTAAAATTGTAATAGTTTTTAGCACGTATTAAAATTATGGTTAATTTAATTTTAAATATTTCATACTATGTGACTCAATAATAATTAAATTATTTGAGGGTGTCACAATTGTCCCATGGTGGATAGGAGATGAGTCGAATCACACTTGAAGGTTATGTTCTTAAGTAAAAATGAGTTGCATCTTAATTATCAAATATGATTTTTGTTTTAATAGTAAACGCTCGATTTAACAATTATAATATCAGTGAAAACAAGTTTGATTTCCATTTAAGCAATTATTTAGGACAAGATTGTTATAGGTTACATAATTACATTATAGCATAGGCTAGGTGAGCCAAGTCAATATTTTTGCAAATTGCATAAATTGTCTCGTAGCGGTTAAATGATTATGGTCTAAGTTAATTGAAAAGCCAAGTGAATCAAGCCATAATTGAAAAGTTTGATTCCTATAAAGAGACAATTATTGAGGAAGAGATTGTTGCACATTCCATCAATTATCTTGTGGTGATTAAATAATTATAGTCTAATTTGAGCAAAAATATGTCATATTGTCTTCATCTAAAATAACGGTTTTTGAAACATTTATAATTTTAAAATAATTGATTCTTACTGTGAAGAATATGGTTCTCAAATTTATTCAACTAATATCATCAGAGAAGAAGGGCTACGTTCAACCAATCAAAGAGTCAAATTTAATAATAAAGCATGTGAAGAGTAGGGATAAAAAACAATGCCCCTAACTTACACTTCTTCAACTACTCACTACAACTTGTCTCTGGTTTTTATCCCTCATCTTTCATTTTTTTTTCACCCTTTGAAATTGGAATTTACAATGCAGGAAACATTTTTACATAATTTTTTATTGATAAATATTAATGGTTCGTTTTATTAGTGAAAGAGTCTAATCTATAATTTTTTCACTCTTTTTAAAAAATTTCAAATCAATTTGATATATTTTAAATATTAGTAAAAAGATTTACAACCTCTTCAGTATTTTCACTGTTATTATTATTGCTATTAAAGTGTAATAATACTCTTGCATTAAATATATTCACTTTTATGCTT